TAGCCGTGGTTGATTAAAGTGGCTTTCAGAACTTGAGCAATGGTAGGGACTGTTAGTGTTGAAAACGTACAACTTATTAAGCTATTTGCCCAACGGAAAAAGAAAAAAAAAAGCTGTGTTTGCCTGCTTTCTCCTCCCTAAGTTCCCGAACAAATATGCTTGTCACTTAACTATGGTTGTCACTTTCAAGTGGTGTCCCTTGATGGGTTTTTTCGTCGATTAGACTCTCCTTCTTTTTAGATTAGATTAGAGTAGATTATATAAATGTTATCGTTGCGAAAAAAAAAAAAAGGTTTCCGAAAGAAATATAGTCTAAATGTATGGACGCTTCAAATCGAAGCAGTTAGCGGTCCAAGATGAAAAGAAAAGGAAGAACTTGAATAGTCAGGATAGTAACCTGGAAATGTACGCGACTGCACAAAACCCATAAGCGATTCTTGTAGAGCACGGCCAGGAGATGAGCAAATGTAAGCTTGGATCAATTTTTGTCGACGAGTGCGAAGTACAAATTAGCAAGCAAAGAACCTACAACGAAAGCTTGGGTAGGCTAATGAGGACAATGCATTAGTACTAATAACATGAGCAACGCAGTTCCGTAGTATTACACGATCAAGGCTGTTAATAACAATGACGTTGGCTACAAATTTTTTGGCCGAATGATGTAATGATGTCAGCGGCAGCGGATGCAGGAGTAGGAAGGAAACATTGGGAAGGCGTGAAGTAGCTGAGAGACAAGAAGGCGTGAGTAGAAGAGCACGCCTTTACTGGGTTCACGTTGATTCAGCCAGTTGGGGACCAGTTCAGCTAGAAGATTCTGTTGGACACGTGTTGGAAGCTCATTTGTTCACTTGAAAATCAGTTAGAATGGCAGTTGTATAAACCGTGAGGATCATGTAATTGTTAGGGAACCTTTTGCAAATTTGATATTGTAATCAGAGAAGGAATATCCTCTCTGCGTTTTCCCCCTCCCCACGGTTTCCTTCAATCTCTTTCCCCTTATGTTCTTTCCCGCCATTCTGCTTCTGTAATCCTTTACTGAAGCTTATCAATGAATATGGAGTTGTTCGTTTGAGTTGCTCAGACTTTTGCAGTCTATTGATTCATTGCATTTTAGTTCATTTCATTACTTGCATTTCCTGGTTCTGGTCCACAACAAATGACCAGCATCAACGTCATCAAACGAAGTGTACATACTTCCACAATTGTTCTGGCAATAACCATGAAAGGAAGCAAAGAATGCAACAAAAGCTTCAAAGTTCACAAAAGGCTAATATGTAGCATCACTAAGCGACTGCATCTTCTTGACTAGTTCCCTCATTTCCCATCTCAGGCAAAGTTTCAAGGTCAGTGCGAGCCTCTTTCTCTTCTTGGGGAATTGTAGAACTTGATGAGTCAACCATGCTATTCTGCTCAGCGTCAGCATTCTCATTTGAGTTTGAAGATGCCTCCTCTTTAGTAGCACTCGAGGAACCAGAAGAATCTACTGATCTATTTTCACTGGAATCAGTATTGTCATTGTCATTTGAAGGGTTAATCTTTTCTTCCGGTCCTGTTTCAGAATGAGCATCAGACTTCTGGATCTCGACCTTTTCATTAACCTGATTGGCTGATGAATTTTCTGAACTTTTCTCTTTACCCCCAACAGTATCGCTACCAGCATTTTGTCTATTACCCACATCATTTGAACCTTCTCCATATGCTGAGCCCTCCTTCATATTTGAACTTGTATCGGATTTGTCATTGTTTGTTGCAGCATCCTTGTTCTCGGTTTGCTCCTCTTGAGTAGACTGCGCACCATCTCCCCCAGGAAGGACATCACCAACAGCATTTCTCTGGTTTTGATCAGCATCAGCCTTAGAATTGTCGCTAATGCTCTGCTGTTGATTAGCTTCCTTTGTTCCTTCTGTGGGATTGGAGTTATCCCATGATCCTTGCTGCGTGGATTCATTGGCATTGCCTTGCTTTTCATTAGCTTCATGTGTTCCTTCTGTAGGATTGGAAGATTCCCCTGATTCCTGCTGTGTTGTCTCATTGCCGTTGCCTTGTTCTTGATTAGCTTCCCTCCTTCCTTCTGCAGAATTGGAATCGTGAGCTGATCCCTGCTGTGTGTTTTCACTGTCATTGCCTTCATCAGTCGCAACAGTTGATGGACTGTTCTGTTCATTTGACTCACCTTCTTTTGCACTTGAACCTGATTCATTATCGTGTACCTTATTTGCCCCTGTCACATTTTCACTGTTGCCTTCAGACTTGTCCTGGACCTTCTCAGTCGACTGTTCTTCCCCATTTACGTTTTCCTTATTTACTTTCTCAGTGTCTTTCATACTTTGAGAATCCTGAACGTCTTCACTCTGGGCATTCCAACCATTGGTGTTTTCCCGTGCAGCAGCTTCGTTTGTCTGCTCATTTGCTTGATGAACTTTCTCATCTGGTGATTCCTCAGATTTACCTTCTTTTTGTTCCTTCACTTCATGGTCTTCCTGTTTCTCTCTACCTTGATCTTCATTGCCTATTTGTTTCTTCTCTTCCTTTTCTGTTGCCTTGCTCTCATCGTTAACCTGCTCCTTCACTTCCTGCTCTTCACCTCCATCCAGGTCATTCTTATTTTCCCTGGTCTCTTCATTTTCCCCATTCTCTTCTTTTGCATCCTTTTCCTCATTACCTTTCTGCTCAGCTCCATTTTCTTGTGTGTCTTCATTAGCATTCTCATTGTTCTCCTCCTTCGTTTCATTCTCCTTCTCTGCGCCACCATTTTCTTTATTTTCTCCAGTCTCCTCACCACTTTGCTCTTCATCATGCTTTCCCCGGTCGTCTTCTCTAGTTTCCTCCTCCTCACCGTTATTTTTATTTCCATCATTCTCTTTCTCTTGATTTTGCATCTCATTTCCCCCTTCACCCTCTGCATCTTTGTTCTCTCCATTCTCTTCATCTTTCACTTCTTGCTCTGTACTTTCTGTCTCCTTTTCTCCTTCCTCTCCCAGTTTGTCTCGATCATGATCATTTTCCCCGGGCTTGAGTTCATCTTCAAGTAGTTTACTGGCTTCTTCTCGTTCCTCCTTTTGATTCTCATCCTCTGTTATCATTTCAATATTTTTTGGTTGGATGTCTTTTCTCCCAAATTTTTGTACCTTCTCCAAAATGTTTGAGCTTTCTCCATATGATGCCTTTTTGCTACGGGAGTGCTGGACCTGATAAAGCAGCCAGATGCAAACACCAACTAGCACACATATCTGCAGGGCATGCTTCACCTTAAAACCTTTATTTCTCTGATTCCTCCGAGGTGACAGCCTGAACATTGTGATTTTATTGTTGTACTATATCTTCAGTTGAAGCAGCTTCCAGAAGCTACAAGCTGTCCCAACTCTTTTAACTTCTACAAAAGAAAGAATTACTGTTAATTTTAAGGAGAATTATGGTAAACATTCAGAACATAAGAAATCAGGCTTGGATTAGATGCTCAAAAACCTCTGAAATTAAGTGAATTAAACACCATCCAAGTAACATGTCGCAAATGGCTATGACAATCACTCTGATGCTCAAAAAGAAATGGAGTTTCGTATGGCAAGTGCGAGAGGCCAACAGATCACGGCAACCACATTCTCCCGCTGCAGTCCGATGTCTTTTATTATTATTATTTTTTTCTTAAGAAAGTCTGATATCTATAATCACTAACAACTCCAGATATAGTGAAGAGAGTGACAATTAACAGAGGATCCAACTTGGGTATATGCGGATCTAAGTAGCACCAGAATGCAATTACGCACATTCAGGCTGTAATCATCAATCGTTGAGGCAAGTTAAAAACTTAACGAACAGAGGTACCTCATAGAAACTCAACTAGCATAATTGTTTCTCTTAGGAACACCGCAGATCAGAGCCCGCAACGCAGATGGTAACTTCAACTCACACAAATTGGGTCTGAACTATCATGCTGGTTATCAAAGCACGCAGCCACCAAAGAACAGACAAATCACACCCCATATCCGACCGACCCAATTATTGAAAAATAAGCTACAAAGAACAAAACAGGAGCGTGAATCCATTTCCTTCATAAGAAAATAATCCGGCGTCTCCAGAGTCCAGACTATCTATTTGGAAACACATAGATAGCAGCTCAGCTGGAAAGACTTCGACCAAGAAATAACTATCATATCATTTTAACTGTTATACCAGTTTGAACCAAGGCCGGAGCGATGTATACAAGAAACAATTGATTCGAAGCAATGCGTATAGCTATGATCACATCCCGGATAGGATACTATATTGATATCGATCTGCATTCAACTAAATAGCAAACACGTACATTTAACGCTAGATAAATATAGAGTCAAGACCCCCCATGATCGTGCAAACTTTCCAACGCCAAAAATGAATTGAAAAAAAAAAAAAAAAAAGACGAGATCTCTAAGGAAAAGGCAAGCCATACCTGGTCCTATACTAAAAGAAAGAAGAAGCAAAAGGCTTGTTGTTGGTGCGAAAGTTGTCTCCTTTTAAATAACTACTACTACTAAGGCCACTGAAAAGAATGAATGAATGATTAGGTTTAAAGGGAAAGGAGAATAATGCAAAAGGATCTACCACTCGTATGTATTGCCAATCAATATGAAGGAAAGGTTTACCAGTGGTTCGTTGTTAACAATGGTGGTGGGTGTCAGGTAGGCATTAAGAAAGGTTCAACAACACTTTCTAAAGAGGTTTGTTGTTGTTTTTATTCTTTGGTTTTCTTTGGCTTCTCCCTCAAATTCAATCCCCCGATTTTAGATTGGATCTGCGGACGAAACCCAGGAGGCGTAAAGTAAACTGTAAAGTATCTGTTGTCTTTTGACAGCCTTACAATTAATATTATTATTATTAATTCTCTGGTGGGTATTTGCTTTAACGCTGTCGTTGTAGCCCAATACGACGACGCTTGTGCCGTACTCCATTACGAACGATTTTATTGTTATTTCCTTGAGTCAATGCTCAATATAATGCCTACTATAGTGAGAATGTAAAGGCATCGCATCGCATCGTCGGTGAGGCGGTGATCCAGTAGTACCACATAGGCTTCTTTCACAACGCCGCCATTCTATCTCCTCCCTCCCTTCCTTGATAAAGATAAACCCTTTTTTTTTATTTTTTTTCTGATTTAATTTCAACACCTTCAAAATAAAAGGTCGAAGCTCCCACCCACAAATTTGGCGCAGGACCTCGCAGTCAGACTCATTACACAGCTGTCTGAGGTGAGCGTTCCACAAGCCTACATCGAAACGATGCCGTCGAAGCTTTTAACCACCGCCCTCCGCCGCACGATCTTAAAACCCACAATCCTCCGCCCCTTCTCCACCGCTGCTGCCGCCGTTGCTGAACCCTATCAAGAAGACACATCAGGAATTACGGTGAAAGGCGTAAAAATCTCCGGAAGACCCCTCTACCTCGACATGCAAGCTACCTCGCCGGTGGACCCTCGAGTCCTCGACGCCATGCTCCCTTACTATCTCTCCCGCTTCGGCAACCCTCATTCCCGGACCCACCTCTACGGCTGGGAATCCGACCAGGCCGTCGAGTCTGCCCGTACCCACGTGGCAGACCTAATTAGCGCCTCCCCTAAGGAGATCATTTTCACCTCCGGCGCCACCGAGTCCAATAACATCTCCGTCAAGGGAGTTTTGCATTTTTATAAGGATAAGAAGCGCCACGTCATCACTACCCAGACGGAGCACAAGTGCGTCTTGGACTCCTGCCGTCACCTCCAGCAAGAGGGTTTTGAGGTAACTTATCTTCCTGTTGAACCTGACGGGCTCGTTGATCTGGATAAGCTTCGGGCCGCGATACGGCCCGACACGGGGTTAGTTTCGGTTATGATGGTTAATAATGAGATTGGAGTGATTCAACCTGTCGAGGAAATTGGGAAAATCTGTAAGGAATTTAATGTTCCGTTTCATACCGATGCTGCCCAGGCTTTGGGGAAAATTCCCATAGACGTCGATAAGATGAATGTCAGTTTGATGTCTTTGAGCGGGCATAAGATTTATGGGCCTAAGGGAATTGGGGCTTTGTACATGAGGCGCAGACCGAGGATCCGCGTGGAGCCTCAAATGAATGGGGGCGGGCAAGAGAGAGGGATAAGGAGTGGAACTGTGCCAACTCCCTTGGTTGTGGGCTTTGGGGCTGCTTGTGACATCGCTAAGAAGGAAATGGAGTATGATGACAAGAGGATTAAGGCTTTGCAAGAGAGGTTGTTGAATGGAATTAGGGATAAGATTGATGGGGTGGTAGTGAATGGTAGCGTGGAGAGGAGGTATGCAGGCAATTTGAACTTGTCGTTTGCTTATGTTGAGGGGGAAAGCTTGTTGATGGGGTTGAAGGAGGTCGCCGTGTCGAGTGGTAGCGCTTGCACTAGTGCGAGCTTGGAGCCCTCCTATGTATTGAGGGCATTGGGTGTGGACGAGGACATGGCACATACGTCTATTAGGTATGGGATTGGGAGGTTCACTACGGAGGAAGAGATTGACAGGGCTGTGGAGCTAACTGTAATGCAGGTTGAGAAGTTAAGGGAAATGAGCCCTCTTTATGAGATGGTGAAGGCTGGGATAGATTTGAAGAATATACAATGGTCACAGCACTGATTGGGTTGAGGCTGCAAACTTGCGATAACTGAACCTCTAAATGTGTCATGGAGCAGCTACTTCCTGGGCTTATGGGCGTCTCACTGGTGTTTTCTGACATTACTCTTTGGATGCAATTCATACTCATAGGTAGTTGCTTAATGCTAAAATTTTTGACACTAGATGGATGGTTATGGTGTTTCATGGTTGTGTAATATGTATTTAGTTGTCTGGCATTTTGATGGGGATGATGTAATTTTGGCAATGTGAATAATGTTGCAATTTCGCTATCATCAGAATCATAAGTATATGCTTTTAATGAGGCTTCAGATATATCATTGTATGCTTATTTGCATAGAAATCGCAGATATATCATTGTATGCTTATTTACGTAGAAATCACATATTTCATGAGCTACTTTTCTTATTTGTAAGCTGGATGGGTGGTGAGTTATTTGAAACTACTGATGCTGCACTGTTGTGACTTCTTAAAGAACAGTAAATGGGTGGGATGACTATAGTTGCTCCTATGAAGTATGTTAGAGAATATATGAAGATAGTTACATACAGTATACTTGCTGGTGTTGGTCTTTTTGAGCTTTGTGGTGACTGCTATTTGGAAATTGATGCGCCCTTTGACAATCAGCGCTTGTGTTCTTTTAAGGATTATCGCTGCTGTAAATTTTGGAAAATCTGGTATTGCTAAGGTAATGAAGTAACTGTTGCCTGTGTCCTCACCAATATCATCATTTACATGCTGATGTTCTTCTGACATTCCTTTCAATGTGTACTTTTGTTGATTTTTAAATTTCTTCAAATTCTTTTGTGTATGGTAATATTTTTGTCTCTTATCGTTGCCTCTTGGTGGGTTATACCGGGAAATGAAATGACAAATCACCCAAATGGCCTTCTCTGAAGTTCTTCTCTTTACTACCAGCGGGGTCTTGTAAATCTATGTGCATCAACTCTGGTTGTGCCTCAACATTTGTATTAACTGCATGTTGCTGAGAAATTTTCTGTTTTATCGTTCCTATCAAGATTTAAATTCAACTCTGTGGCATCTTTCAATTATGGAAAAAGCCTAGATATAAAGGTCATCGTGCAGACAACTTCAATTCATAGCAGCTTTCTGTTCACTACAAGGGGGATACACTAGGCATCCGTACGCCTGCTGAGAATTGGCGCTGCAGTTTACTTCTAGACCACTTACCACTAAATTTTATATATATATATATATATATATATAATTTTTTTTTTTTTTTGGGAGGGGGGCAGGAGGAGGAGAGGGGGAAGAAGAAGAATGGCTCTGTTATTAACTGCTGCAGACATACAGATACTTGACTATACTGTTTGTTCTGTTTTAAGATAACTGGGAGCTAGTTGTATAACCATGCAAAAAAGCAGTTGCAGAAGTATTCAAAGATTCAAAAATTATATACTTGTATGGGGCATACAGAATCATGACTATACTATTCGCCCTGTTTCAAGATAACTGGGAGCTAGGTGTATAGCCATGACAGAAATTCCATTGCAGAATTATTCAAGTTGTTGCAGCCTTGGTACTCCAAGACAAATTTTTTGGTTTCCTTTAACATTTTCAATTAACCTGGAAATAAATTCCTCAGTGAAGTGATTTTGCAGTGTACTTGACAATTTACTTTTTTAGACACCATTTGGCTCAGCAGATTGGCTGTCTGTTTGGCCTGTATTGTCTGGGAATTCTGGGCAGTTAAAAGATTGAAAATCATATTTTGGAGAAGCACGCATATTGCTGGTTCACGAGTACAGGAGTTTTTAAGCCGGTTTCGCCCGGGAAACCATTGATAGAAGGAAGCCTCATACTCAAGTCTTAACTAGCTTTTCGTTAACAACTTTCCATCTGCTTTTGTGCTTATCTTTGTTTATGAGCGAATCTCTCCGCTCTTGTTGCTTTATTGGGTGCTTCAAGAAAGATATTCTGGTCATTAATGAAGGTCAAGGCTATATTCGGTTTGGTGATTATTTTCTGATGAATTCCATTTAAATTGCTGATTCTTAACCGAGTTAAAATGTGACATAAAGAAACTTCAGGAACAAATAATAATGTCTTTGCTTTACAAGTGGATCCTGATTAAACCTGTCTAGCCTTCTGGTAGGAAATCCTCTTTTATTTCCAGGGTATTTTTTTTATTCTTCTTTGGTTGTACTGGTGAAGATGCTCTGATCGTTGACATGGTTCAAATTTAGCAGCAACTTATGTTTTTTGTTTTTCTAACTGATCAATGGATTTTGTTGGATGAAATATACTGTGCTGCATCAATGAGTCGGGTTCCGTTTTGTTATGGAAAATTTTCCTGGGAAGTTTTGCTGCTGTGCTTTCTTCACATGCAATTGGTGCCTTGTGGTGTTTTCTGCCCATCTTGTGTCTACTTTCCTGTTCAGCCTCTTTCCAGTGGCGCTGGCTCGATGAGTTCAGTATTCTATTATGATTAAAATATAGCTGATGGGGCTTATGGCTAATAGTGCTAATTTCTCCTGCTTTTAGGAAAAGAAGGAAGCCCTTTGACATTCAGTAGCAATAGGTGTAGGACGTACGCTGGTGATGGAGGAACATGCAGCTGAGAGGAAGTAAAATGTTTGTACTTTTGGAAGCTCGATCACATCACATGTAGGTTTGTCTGTGATCAAATAAAAAGCTTTGTCTGTTGCATGTCATTTTGCTGAGCTTGTGAACTATTGCCCGCGCAAGGTTAAGTTTCTTGCCCGGTACCATTGATGTATCTCCATGGCGTGGAACGATGAGCAGTAAATTACTCGATACCATCCACGCCAGTCATTTCCGTCGCAACAAGCTGATGAATTACTTAGAAGTTATGAAATGAAACTACCCAGATAATAAAAGCAAAAAAAAAAAAAAATCCAGAACGTAAGCAAAGCGAGCCCAAAACAAGAAGCAAAAAAGGTTTCGGGAATCTCAGCAGCACATGCGCCACACAGACTCCCATTTGTCCGTCTTCATCGCATCCGATTCGGAAGTTGTCCTTTTGCATTTGCGGATATAATATGATAGTTCCCGATGATTGTCCACACTTGACAATCTGATGCCGATCTTTCCCTGGCCTGGAGATGGATCATCTCGTCAATCTCATGGGACGACATCGCAGCTGCGTCTTGTTTCATCTAACGTTTTGTACCACAATCTGAATTCCCAAGTTGACAGTTGATACTCGGAATTTATTCGATTTTATCGTTCTTCCAGCGTGATATTCTAAGTTAAACATCCACCTTGTTATTGAAGATGTCTGGAGGACGGGCTTCTTTCGCAACAAACGACATCATCTGCAAGATTAAATTCAAGGAACAGATTCTGATGTGAAGGAGAATCCATGAAACGGATAAGATAAAAACAAGAAATTCTACACAAGAAAAGGTTCAGTAGCATGGCTTTGCTTTTTTTTTCTTTTCTTTTTCCACAGTGGGTTAGAAAGTTGATTTAACCTGAGCTGCATTGTCATATTGACATGCATGCCGCACAGTGGCATACGCATTTTCAGACGGTCTTCGCCTGTATGATGAGAAAGCGGAAATAACAGATTTCTGCAGTGGGAACTCTTCCCATTTTCCATTAAATGTCTCGTCATACCTGATTATCATCATCAATAAAAGATCTACATCTACCTGCTAGAATGGTTCTGCTTCCACTGCTATGGTAACTGTTTGGACAGACGCATCAAACGAACTTTTCTTGTCACATTTCTATCACTCTTGGCCACCTGTCGAAGGAATGCATCACCAACTCTCTGATCTTCTTCAGTTCCTGGGCCAAAAAAAAGTTGCTTCTTTTTTCTGTGATGAAAAGTTTTTAACTTTGACCTTTTGACAAAAAAAAAAAAAAAAAGTTTTTAACTTATTCATCGGGCTGGTGATGCATTCCTCAATGATCGAGAACTAGTAGCAAGCATTCATTACTGACTCGAGATTTTATTGCTCATCAGAGAAAAGGAGCCGGGCGTACGTTTAATCGGGGGTAGTTGCAAGATCAACATTTTTTCGCATGGTTAAATTAGGATACCAGACCTTTTTAGCAACTCTTTTTTCTTTTTAAGAATGTGATATAATTAACTGGATTTCATTTTGAATCGTTTGGAAATTGTAACTTAATAGTTGTAACTTCAAAGTTCAAGCGGATTTATGAGGATGTGATTTATTTGGAGAAATGCAATGTGTACAAGATAAGGCCTTGTTTGGATTGCTGTTTTCCGTCGACATTTCCCTATTACCTTTTTTCCTCACATACATCGATCGCTACAGTATTTTTTCTATGAAAAATCATGAAAAATGCAATCCAAACACAATCTAAATGTGCAGAGTGCTTAACTCAGGAAATATCGTGCCTAACTCAGGAGGTGGGAAGATTAAGCAAGCGAGGAGGAGGAAGCCAGTTACGCAGTGAAAAAAACTGCTCTCTTGACTTGGAAGTTTTCTGGATATATAATGCAGGGCATTACCCTTTGTGCTAATGGTAGTACGACTACTATTCTTCCGTTTGAATTTTGATACCAGAAAAATGATAATTATTCTTTAAAAAAAAAAATCTAACCAGTACTGATGATGATGATGTGTCAACATATAATTGGGTAGAGACAACTTTAGTGCGGATGCATCAAAATTTCTTTAATGCAGTTAAAAATTCCATCGAAATTGGACTTGCAGAGATAAGTTGCATGATTGGAAAGAGGGAGTATAAGTTAGTGGTTTCGAATTCAAATTCTTCCATTTATAATAAAAAAAAATTAATCTAAACTAGGCATAGATTTGTGTTCCAATTCTTTTTCCTCTCTTTTTTTTTTATTTTTTTTTTGAAGGATTCTTTTTTCCCTATTGCACGCAATTTCGGAACTTGAATTTTACTAAGTGACCTAAATTGATGCTCCAATGTCCAAAGTATGTGCGGATTAATTTTTACCTTTTTCCAACTTGTCTTCCACTTTGAGAGTAGAATCCCTCTGGGAAACAACTTATCTAGTTTTCTGCAACTTTTTACCAACAAAAACCTATGCTAGCTAGGCAGCCTCTCGGGAAAGGCTGGTGCCTATACCTGCTAATGTAGGTGATGACAATTTGCTCAAGCAAGCAGATCACCCTACTTGTAGATTTGGACCACTGCTGCTTTCTACTTCTACTCCTCCACGGGAAAAGCTAAAAAGAAGTACTCTAATAGAATAATTCCTTGCAAGACAAGCAGTAGTAATTGACAATTTCCTCTGCTACAGGCTTCAACACTTCTCCTCGCTGTTCTTTCTTATCATTGCTCTTTCCCCTCATGATAATGATCATCAGCAGTAACTTCTCTCTCTGTCTCTTTTTGCTCTCTATCGAATTGCTTTAGACAATAAAGTAGTCCAAGTTTTTTGCCACTGTTTTGCCTCATTAATTAGTAATTCTGCGGTTTTGTGCATCCCAATATTTACTACTAGTGGTAGATTTGAAGATGGTGTCTTCAGTTTGTTGTTTTACTGGCTAATTAACACAAATAGAATTTTGGCCCTTATTAAGAGAGTTTGAACAAATGATCCTACTGGAAAACTTTGACCTGAATATTGAAATTCTTTTCTTCTCAAAGCCCAACCATAATCCTACAAGTTCACTTGTTGCCAGGGAGAGTGAAACAACAGTTGTAGTAACATGAGTGCGAAGGGCAATGCTAGGGAGACCTAACGGTACCGTCTATGTAACCAGACTACATATATTCCAAACTCTCTGCTACTTTTTATCTTTCATCCGCTACCCGGAGTTTTGCCGCCGGATTTGTTTAGAACTACACGTTTTCATTGATGGTTCCTGCACGTTTAGTAGTTTTACGGACTTCTTGCATTTACTTGTCACCATTCATGATTCATCAGTACTGCAGTAGCAAGTATGGTGGAGGCAGAGATTCTCTGATCACAAAAGCAGATTCCATTATCAGCTTACGGGCAATGACTTTGGAATACCATATCTTAATCATTTCACAAATTTCTACTAACGTATTCTCTGATTATCTGATAACGGAATTATGGAAGTACCATGTTAAGAAATCCTTTGAAGAAAAAGGTCCCCATCCTCAAAAACCAACTGATAATAGAATGGTTTTAGGAACTGATATTATCATTTATATACAGGATTACCAAAAACATGAAAAATCAAAAAAATCAAAAAAAAAAAAAAAGAAGAAGAAGAAGAGAAGAAGAAAGAAATCAGGGGTTGAAAATGAGGTTTCCACACTTGCATTTCCAACTCATGGGCTTGTAGTTGGAGTAATCATCTCCTCTGGAATGGAAAATCGTGGAAACAGTAGTGGTGGAGTTTCTGGGATAATTCTGGTGCCCGTCTCTGATTTGGGGATTTGTAGGCACCTGAATAGCTTGGCAGTGCCCACAAGCGTTGCATTTCCGATCGCACCGCGGCGGCCTCGAACCTATCTTTGAATTGCTAACAGTTTTAGCTATTGGTCTACCTGAAGAAAAAGCCAAAAAAAAAAAAAACATATTGAAACTGAAGTTCAAAATTGGTGAATTGAGTGGGAGAAATTAAAAGCTTTCACTGGCAAACAAATTTACCTTCAGCGTTGAACAATATTCTCAAGTGGGATGAGCTAAAAACCAGGTGGAGAATGAGAACAGAAATGGCAAAATGGTGAAGCCTGCTGTATGTGAGGCCCTGACGGCTACCCATTTCAGAGAAAGTATAGAGCTGAAGAGATGAGACTTTTGAGAGTTGGCGGAGTTGGGAAATTGCGATGAGAAAAAGATGGAAGGAGGGAGAGGGAATTAAGTAGGAGGTGGGAACTGGAAAGGCAGCGTTGATGATAGAGATGTGAAGTAAATCAGCAGAAGAGTTTAACAAGAGATGAAAGAAAAGGAAGCGTCAGTGAAATTGGGAAAGAATAAGCTGATACTAACATAGGTCGCTCTCCAGCTGCGGATTCCTAGAGTGCTGATCATCTCAGATGATAGAACAACGTGGAAGGACAAAACAGTTTGGGCAGTAAGTTCAAAAAGTTGTGAGAAGCAAGCAAAAGGGAAGAGAGGTGCGAAAAGGGAAGAACCTTAACCTCGTTCCATGAGCCAGACTAGTCCAGACCTTTTGAACGTACGTGTTATAATGGAAGAAAGAGAGAAATTGCCCATTAGCATCCAGCAGTAGTATTAGAATTTTAGAATTCAGAATTCCATAGGGCCAGATATGGTATGATGGTGAGCTGATGAGGAAAAATTGGTATATTACTGCTAATCAGCCTTATGGAACACGATTCATGGGACAGCAACAACAGATAGAGAGGAAAGCAGAGGGTGTACATTTGATATTTGGAGGAAACAAGACAAAGCCCCAAAACAGCAAGAGGCCACTCTTGCCCACGTCCAGACACCCTAACGGACACCTGACTATAGCTGTTAAGATTTCTTGGGGGTGTTTTCGCTTTCCAAAGTGCTGTATATTTTGCCCATTGCTGGAGATTTCTTGTACCGCTTGCGGCTCGGGGATTAGCGCCACTCTTTTTGCTTCTGCAAAATTGCAAATCCAAATGTTGATGAGATTCATTTGATTGTATTTGTATCCTTGATGGTATGCAGTACTTTTATTGACGGTTTCAATGGGACTTGAGCATGATAAATTGTTGATGAATTTAGGGAAAGTCCATATTCTTCTCCTCTAATTCTTGTCTTGGTATAAACACATCTTAAAGGTCTATGAATGTCATGTGGCGATATCATGTGCCATACTCCTAAAGTTGACTCAAGAAAATACTTGTAGAAGTTGATGATGAAATCAAAAAGTCAAAACTCTTTAATATATCATGTACTACAATTGGAACTTTTTTGACTAAGCGATCAACTAGCAGAGTGCGCAAACTCAAATGAAGCAGCGCCGCTAAATCATATCCCTGTAATGTATATATTAGACTAAATAGAATTTTGGAAGGAAACCCAAAAAAAAAAAAAAAAAAAAGCAGCCCCATACTCGTATAAAAAAAATGTCAGAAAAAAGTCATTTTGAATAGAACTAAGATAGTACCCAAAAAAAAAAACGAAAATCATGTCACTCAAATTATCTATACAAAGTACGAACTTGAAAAACTGCATCTTTCTAGCATATGGACTTGTCCCTATCATGTTTTCCTGAATTACTTTAAAAAATTTTAGTTAAAATAGCGTACGAATCAACACTTACGGAAATGCATCAATTGCTGAAAGCACAGCAGACTGGAGTAACTGAAGCATTACAATAATGAAAAAGTTGGGCTTTGAAGGCTACGTTACTGGTCTGGTGTTATCATAGTAATTTCAAGTTTTGATTTTCTGAATAATTCCAACCCATAATTTATCAGGGCATGGAGGCGTTGAATCGCATTAATTCATCTAGACGGTTAATGGCATTTTTTTTTCTTGGTCAAATTACACTTTATCCCCATATGGTTTTAGTGGTTTTGAACATAACCACCCTATAATTTCAAAAACTATATATAACTCCCTTATAATTTGGATTAAAGTGTTAAAGTGACGAAAATGATTATTCGTAACGGAACCTATGAAAATATCATAATTACTCTTATTTAAAAATTAAAATGGTTGAAGTGACAAAAATATACAAACATAATATGCATGATACGCTAACCATCCCGCATGATTTTATATTTTACCATGTAACCCCCTTATGATTTAATATTTTACCATATAACCCTCTTATAGTTTTCAAAATATACACATAACCCCCCTATGGTTAATAAATAATGTTCAACTTTCGTCACTTTGACACTTTAATTAAAATCATGAGGGGATTATATACAGTTTTTAAAACTATATAGGGATTATGTACAAATAACATTAAATCATAAGAGAGTAAAGTGTAATTTGCCCTTATAAAAGGGGTACAGTTTTGGTGTTTGGGTGCTGCGAACAGGCCCATGGGCCTTCCTCTTGTTGGGTAATTACAAGTCCTAGCGATTGTAAGGCATGAACCCACTAATAATAAACAAAAGAAAAATTTGCAGTTCAGCCTGCATGCAGACTGTGACGAACACAAGCTGGATCTTTTCTATGAGTACCCAAATAGGCAAAGCTTTTCACTGCCGTCCTTTTTTTTTTCCCTGAATCACTCGCACCGTGAATCAAACCGTCGTATGAACCGAATTTGCAAAAATGCATTAAGTGACCTTAAAGTATAGTGATCAATCACTGGAAATTTATTTGGTAACGTATATTGCTTTCGTTTGATGCTATCACAATACAGACTAGTATTTGGTGCTTTTCGGCTTAATTGCTCAAAACAAATATGTATTCGATGCATGAAGCGAATGGAACACATGAGTTTCCTGCAACTCCATAGTACAGTTTACGTCCGACATCAAGCCAACTCAACTCAGTCTCTGATCTAATCGTTTGTTTCAATTTGAAGTTTTCCGAGTTTAAGCTGATTTTTAATCCCAAATCGGACGTGACTTCTTTACCCCTCCTTCCAGCGGAGAAAGCCATTAACTTCTCTCTAAATCCAATTTTAGTTGTAAGACTATACCAGTTTCTGATTCTGGAATCCTTTGCTTTCTTCCGTTCTGGGCTTGGAGTCTCCTCTGGAATCAAGAACATGCTCCCGGCTTCTCGGACTAAAGAGTATACAGCGCGTAACCTGATAAACTTACACCTACATGGAACCACCCGTTTTTTAATGCTCTATAGAACCACCTGCAGGTGTGCTGAAGGACTGAAACATAGCTTCCTGCACTACAAATTTTCCATTTTGATAAACTACTTATAACCTTGGGTTTATCATGTCGCAATTTTTTGTCACCCTACTTTTTTAGCGACGTTGGAACTCGTTTCCTGTTCTTTACTACTTCTGAGCATAGTAATTAAATCCAACCCGGGAGGAACCCGGCGAACGAGATGGATCAACGGGTTACTAGTTCAATCAGTGGGTGAGTGGTTGAACCGGTGGGTCACTAATTATATGTAAATATTATATTTCATAATTTTTGATATAAGATATATGATATAAATTATAATAAATAATGTCATAACAAATGCTCATATAATTTAATTTGATATAAAATAATTAATTCATATAAGAATCAATAAAATATTAAGTTATTTAGTAATATACCAAACTTCAAGTATAAAATTTTATCTATGTTTAGTGTAATTATCTAACTTATTTATGAATTTTAAGTGCAAAAAATTATTAAAAATAATATTTGTCTTTAAAATGAATTATGTAATATGTCATTTTTGAAGTCCATTTTATAACTTATAAAGTTTGGGGTCATAAATTTTTATTAAAAGATCCCAAAGAAATAAAAAAAAAAAAAGATAAAGTTGACAAAACGTTTATATATTATAAGTAAGCTACTCAATCAACAAATGGTGAAGTAGCTTGGTGGTACGCGCCTTGCTTAAAGGACCAGAGGTCTAATTCCAACAAAGGAATAAAATTTTTATACGAAATCCGGTTCCTAGACAAAATCGGGCAGGTTTCCGGTTTCATCCAGTCGAATCGCCGCTCCATTGACTAGTCAACGATTTGATTGCTTAAATGATCTAATTTAAAATCCAGTCCGGTCCAATGTCTGGTTCATTGATTTGATCGGTTCGTCCGTCGGACCGGGCTGGATTTAATAACTATGTGGGGACATGAAACTCGATGAAACAGGAATTGCCAATCTATCAGAATTACCAACTTGTTGCAAGAAACACAGTCACAAGCCTGCAGGTACCTGGAAGAACACATACATTTGCGGAAGAATTGATTTACCCTTTGTTACAAATCCTTGAAAACTACCTGTCATGCAATTCAAAGCAACGTCCTCCTCCATCTTTTCACCCACACACACTCCCACTCTCGTGCGTGGTAAAAATTTTGGGTGGAGCGGAGGTTGAATTTGTTTGTCCAATCGATGATTTAGATACAAGTTGACACCATTTGATGGATCGGAAGACGCCATTTACAAATTGACTTCTTGTGTGTACCAAACGATGACGCTTACATCAGTGAACGCTGTTTTACAATTCGCCCATGTCATCGAATTTGTCTAACCTGCAATTAATCGACTGTAGGACCCTAATCTGGGTTGTCGTAGATGTGAGTTTTAATTGCTGGTAGATTGCAATATCCTACCACAATCTGGCGTCGACTGCTCACGGGCTACAGACCTGGGCAAAGTATGAGCTGACTTGGATACTGACTAGATGGGATTTTGCCATATACACTGATAAAGAGGTGGTTGAATGCTCTGAATCCTTCTAAATGTATCATCATCAATGAGAGATGCCCTACTATCCTCATCTCTATCTCAATTCCAATGGCAGCCATTTAAACCTGTGCATTGTATAATATATATATAGGTCTGTATCAGACAATTGCGTGACCGATTTTGACATCATACCAGCTAGCGTAACAATAATGCAGACTTTTACATTTCCATGCATGCCTTTCTAGTTCCGCAGTCGATTCTTTCGGACGGTGCCAAATTTAATCAGTCGGATCAATTGGGTAAAAGGGTGGAGGAATATACATCCCATGAGCCATGATGAGTGGCTAAAAAAGATGCGTTTCCTGTAAATGTGGTGGTACGACATGAGAAAACTAGTGCCAGGAATAATGAAGTTAGGACTTTAAAATTTGATAGTTCGAACAACAACAAAAATACGTGCAGGATATTGACGGCTGGAATGAAAGTTAAGTTAACGATCCAAGTCCTGGAGATAATAATAGAGCGCACGCTGTCGTTAGACGGTCGATTCTGCCCTTACCTTGGAAGGAGCAAGTGCTAAACCGAGCATTAAAGCCTGTCTAAGAGTAGCTTAACCGTCTCATTAGGTCATGTCTAATCTCATATGAACCCCAAGAATGGACCAGTTGATGTTCATTGACAGAGCAACTGCCAGTATTAAACTAAATTATCTCCTGAATGATCCTAATTGTAGTTTTTAACTGGAGAGATGTAAGATATTTCTCGACTTCTTTTCAAAAAAATGTAAGATATATTTTTTTTAGCACAACAGAAAGCTCTTCCAAGAATGTTGAACCTTGGCATCCTAGTCAAAACATGTTTCCACAGCTTAATATAATTAGTAGTATTAGCCGCGGCCCCTCGCCATAAATAAAATAATTTGGTCAAGACTCATCCGAAGGCCTTGAAATTTTGTTCCTCCTTATCGTGGTCTAGAGCCAATCATATGGTTGGTGTTAGAGCTACGAAAGAGACACGGCCCTGCTGTTGGGGCACGCAAACCCAAGGGAAACGTGGAGGTGGGATCCGAACCCAAATTCGATTTGTTACCGACGTGTGGTGTGACTTGAATTTTTTGCCGCGTCAGACCTTTCCATTCCTGTTCTAGGTCGAAAGCAAAAGCGATTCTTTTGTCGGATTCGCCCATTGGGCCTGTGGGACTGCCAAGTCTCATCCCCTCGAAAGTCCCTCGTCAGAGTGTACGGAGAATGGTAGGCCTCACTTCCAAGGTCCCACCCTGCTGCCACCAATCTACTATATGTCACTAAGGGGTAATTTTAATCAGAAACCTCATAATTATACTTTATTAAATTGCTCTCACCTCCCCAACTATATTCAATAAAATTGGACGGTTGAGCTATTTTTTTTTTTAAAAAAGAATAATAATAATGTTAGTCGATGTTTTTCTCCTTAATCTGTTTAGAAGAATAGTACCCAAATTTTTTTTAAAAAAAAATGGTGCAGAAGATCAGGAGATATGCAAAAGAAACTTGCTAGAAACAAATAATTTCTTCAACAAAAAAAAAAAAAACTTTTTAATTTCTTCAAATAATTTCTTCAACGCGAGGAAGCTTCCCCAGCTCCCTGCCTGCCTGCCCCGTTCTACAAAAGTTTCTCCTGCCCCTACTCTGTCCCGCCTTGCACTACTATTTGCAGGTGCACCCGTCCCACTGTGCTATCATATTATTTTTTATTTGATTTAATTTTTTATTTATATATATCTAATAATAATTTTATTGATCATTCTTTTCAAGTTTTGGCGAAAAATTGCATCATTTTATCATAATAATATAATATATTATTTATTTAATACAATATATTTACATAATAACAACAGCCGTGATTTTCATTCCATATATACGTATAAAAAAATACATAAATGTTATAGTATATTAATATTTAGAAAAGAGGCATGACAGGGGATGCGAGGGGGTGTGCTGTGCTCCCTTAGATAGGAGGAGAAAAAGTTCCCCTTCCGCCATTCCGGCCCCGCCTCAACCTCCGCGCCACTCTTCCCCTGCATGGACAGGTACTCGCCCCCATTTTCATTCGTAATATCTACTAGTTTGTTCATGAAACTTCCATAATACTAATCTCAATTTTGACATTGGGCGCCCGTTTAATCGTTGTTGCTGACAATATCAAGCTTTTGAGAAGGCCTTTAAGCCTTCCGAAGATGTTCATTCACCTTTATTAGAAGGAATTATATTCTTTCTTTGTAGTCACGGCTTGGTGACCAAAAAAAAAATTTTTTATCTAATGCAATCTTTCCTTCTTCGTAGTCTTTATTAGAGTAGAGCAAAGACCATCTAGGATATTGGGGGAGGAAGTTTGAATATAGCAAATTCTGATTGTAAAACACAAAAGCCAGAAGGCAGTAGAAAAATTTTTGAACTCGCGCGCTAGCTCCATCACCTGGACAACGACAGAGGCACGTAGCAGAATAGTCAATTCATGGAGCTCGAATGTCATTATGGCCTATTCTCTTCTACATAAAGTGATTATTCTATACAACTCAATCATTCATCCGTGATCTTATTCAAGACAGTATGTATTCTATGCTTTACATAAAAAAGAAAGAAAATTTCATTGATGCTCAAGTAGCCACGTAGTCCATGAAGGCTTCCGGGTGACTGTTAACCTTCAAATCCTAATAGCAATGAGGCTGGACTGGAGTAGGCTCTCAGGTGGCAAATTATGGCCTAAACCCAGGTGAAATAGTATCTGGCGGTGTGCCCACAAGGATGAAGACTGAAGAGGCGGGTCCTCCATCCGCCAATGCCGCCATATCTATATCAACATCTAATTTTCTTCCTTGTGCACCAGAGATGTGCAATGTGTTGCCTAAATGGGCCGCCGGTATTCCTTCCTCCCTGCTCTGCTTCTGCGGTGCCAAACCGTATAAAGCATTTCTGGATTCAAGGCATCGGCACGCACCAGAACTTTTTGGGCCAAGCAATTACCTTAATCAATGAAATCCCCCGACCACCTTAACCCATTCGAGTTCGAAGAGAAAACATGCGATTCAATAAGTAGATTAAACTCTCATTTTTCTCTTCCCCTTGTTACCGGAGATAAAAGGGTAGCTGATTGTTCAGTGGAATTATGAGTCGTTCGGATTCTTGATTCAATGTAGATCAACTAGTCTGCAGTTCGAGTAGAAAAAAAGTAGTATATCGTAATTGCTCTCCGCCTAACAACAGGACGGACAATTAATTTCGTAAGATCATTGAGCGCATTAATCACTAGCCATTGAAAATCTCAGTTTCAATTTCGTGAATAGTTTGTAGTTCTATGTTTTTTTAAATTGAATTTCATCAGGACTCGTGGTTTGCCACGTGATAATTTGGCGAATTTCCTAACAAGGTTCCAAATGGCTAACTTCCGTACCACTTACACATATCGGACCGATCGATCTGATCGAGTCAATCGCGAATCGCATTTTTTTTCAAGTTGGTTAGTAATACAAAATCACTCCGGTCGATCGAAAATCAGTCAAAATCATCAAAAAATCAGTCAAAACAGTGGCCCAATTCAACTGTTTGATCCCGTTATCAAACTTTTTGTTCTTATTTGTCTGAGACATAATTTGGATTACCTAAATTTTAAAACTTTCATTTATTAATAGGAATAAGAAAACACCATCCAATTAGTATAAACATCAAAATCACTCATTTTCCTAAATAATCTCTAAATCAAGAAATGTTTATCCTTATCAACTTATCATCAGTTATTCCAACTTGCATTATAAAGCCATATTCCCAACAAAAAAAAAATCTCGAATTGGGTATGATTTGTTTTAATTAGTTTTTAAAGTAATTTTGGAGAATGAGCATATTTTAGATTTGAATTCACATTTTTATATTTTAGGTGTATATTTGATTGCAAAATTTATATTTTTGTAACATTTTGTATGGTTGGCAAATATAACCAAGAACGCTATTTCAATATTCCTTAACTTTATAAAAATATAAAACAATTATAACACCATGCTCACGTTAGCGAGTAATGGTTCGACCAATCCGACTAATCAACCCTTAATCCAATAATTTTGTTGAGTCGTTATTCGGTCCGAATTTAACAACATTACTTTTGGGAACTGATGCAACAATTAAAGATACCTTTGCACAAAATTCCACACCAACCCCCCCCCCCCAAAAAAAAAAACCTTAACTACTGAATAGTCTCATGTCCTTTAACTAAATTATCAATTGAGGCACTTGCTTGCCCTTCTGTATTGTTCGGTTGGACTTAAATGTCGGTTACTTAGCATATTAGGAGTTCTATGTTCTTTGACATTTTCAGTACGAGCTATGCAGATCAGTTAGCATAGAGGGTTTGGGAAAAAGAAGAAAATAATTGGCATTTTGGTGAAAATCCCTCCTCTTCCTTCCCAATTCGTGTTTTAACCAAAAGAAATTCAAAATCTTATAGTTATTCTCTTCATCATATTCTTTATTCTTACCTTTGTTTTTATTTTTATTTTATTTTATTTTTGCATGTGTCGACAGGTTGCTCTTACAAAAGAATATAGCGGCACAATTTCTTCTTTCAATTTCTTGGTGGAAAAAAAATGTTTACTTGACTGTGAAGGATGAAACGAAGCCTGCAGCAACATAACTACTAGTAGAAATGCTTGTCTAATCAATGCAGAGAATTAATTTTCGGACGTGGACACATATGGAGAACTAGTAGAACAACTGGTAAACAGGACCAAGTCTAGAAAGAGTCTTAAGAGAGCTTCCGATCAAAATGATGCAATCCTATATTGGAGTCTAGACTAGAAGACATGTTAAATTGATACAAGTTAAGTCCTGCTGTCAAAGTCTACACTTTTAGAAGTATGAAACGACTTATTTGACCCATTAGAATGTCAAAAAATTCAACAGCAGCTTAAAGTGGGTTAGGCAGCAAATGTTAGTTCCACTTTAGTGAAAGAGGGTAATCGACCCATACCTTCGATAACTCCTCCAATGATCCATGTATGGATAGATCCTCCTACTATAGCTCACAGCCTCGCATTGCAGATTACTACGCGGGAAATCATAATTTGCATAATATTGAAGTTGACAGGATCGTTATGGATACATCATGAAATGAAGAATTGCCCATAACCTAAACTCTGAATAGTGAATAAACAGTAGGTATACTACCAACAATCCAATAATAGGATTGGGTAGAGATTAGAGAGAGGGAGGGAGGGAGGGTGGTCCAGTGACGGCTTACCATTAGCTGTTTAGAAAGCTAAGGTGTAATATGGCGCTTTCTATTTGAATGCAGCAGTCCCTTTCACCTCCCCTTCTTCCCCCCCTCCCTCACTTCCGCATTTGTGTATATAAATATAGAGGCGCCTGAGACTTGGTTTCCACATCCCACAAACACACGCACGCAGGCAAAAATATACTACTTAAAACCATGGCCAATATGTTACATTTGAGTTCAATACGTGCTGCTTTCTTTGTTGGTACAATCATGTATGCCTTGGCCTTTTCCTTCGTCACTGTTAGCGGACGACCGGCAACTTTTGTTCAAGATTTTCGAGTCACGTGGTCCGACTCTCATATCAGGCAAATCGATGGAGGAACCGCCATTCAGCTCACTCTTGACCGAAATTCAGGTACTACCCTTTTCTTTTTTTACTTTTTTGGCTTTTGTACAAGGGGACCATTAACCAGAATCCTTTGTTAGTTGTATCAAGAATTATTCAAGATTGATGATGCAATAACCTGAATTTTGAAATGCATCCGTATTTAGGATGCGGGTTTGCTTCCAAGAACCAATATTTGTTTGGCAGTTTTAGTGTGAAGATCAAGCTCATTCCTGGTGACTCTGCAGGAACAGTTACTGCCTTCTATGTATGTTCTCAGTTCTAACACCTCCCCTCTTCCCCCCCCCCCCCCACAAACCAAAAAAAAAAAGCTTGATTTCTTGATTTGCATGAATATTAACTGTTTCAGATGAACTCCGACACCAACTATGTTCGTGACGAGCTTGATTTCGAATTCTTGGGGAATCGCTCGGGACAACCCACCACTGTCCAAACTAATGTCTACGTTAACGGGAAAGGTAGCAGGGAACAAAGGATCAACCTGTGGTTTGATCCCTCTATAGGATTTCACACTTATACTATACGTTGGACCCGGGAGAATATTATGTAAGTCAGCAGCATCTTTAAAAAAAAAACAAAAACAATAGTAATGATTGAGAGAGTTTTAGTATTTTTAAAAGGTTACAATGTTTGTGATGACTCAGAATATGAATATTACAGACACTGTGACTAGTCTTAGTTACTAGTTCTCTTGAGAGTGTATCGTTGTTCTTCTATTTCATGAAGTCTTTATATTTTAGGCAATTCTATCTCAGACAATTTTACGAATTTGAACAAGTCCATAACATACACAAAGTGTAGTTGTGTGGATCTTCCATATTGCTAATGGGTGATGTTTGGTCGACAGCTACTATGTGGACGACGTGCCCATCAGGGTTTTCAAGAACAATGAAGCGATAGGAATCCCATACCCAAAGAGGCAACCCATGGGTATCTTTTCCACTCTTTGGGATGCAGATGACTGGGCAACCAGGGGTGGATTAGAGAAAATTGATTGGAGCAAAGCCCCCTTCTACACATACTACAAAGACTTCGACGTTGACGGTTGCGTTGTGCCAGGACCAGCTGCTTGTGCCTTCAACCCAAACAATTGGTGGGAAGGACCTAACTACAGAGGACTAACCCCGCTTGAGGCTAGGAAATATCACTGGGTTCGCGCCAATCACATGATCTATGATTACTGCACCGACAGATCCCGTTTCCCCGTTGCCCCACCCGAATGCCTGGCAGGAATCTAAAGTTGCAATCCAAAGTCAAAAAAGAAAAAAAACGCCCATTCATCTTTTACCTTATCACACACTGGATTCTCGATTGAAAGTTATAGTAGTAAAGTTGGAATCAACGTGCGTACATGCGCCTGCTGCCACAACTTGTGATGGGAAAGCCATGCAGAAGCAGAAGGGCATTGGCTGGTGCATGAATAATAATTTGATACACTATTTATTTGAGTATACAGGAGATGAGAGCCATTGATAGTTGAATTTGTGAGCAAATGTCAATAATGTAATCATACCACAGTGTATTTGTTTGTGTCTTACTATAAATTATTTTGTGTATCGTGTGTTGTAAATCAATAATGCCTTTTGTTCATTGTGGAAAACGAGAATAAAAATGGGTTTGTGTCGATAAATAAATCATGTTTTCAACAACCAAGCTATCATTACACCATTACGAATTGGTCTAGTCAAATCATGTTGTCTTGGTGTTTCCTTCGTAGCTTAATTTTAGCCGAAGAAACAGAAGCAACGAAGGGAATAAAACAAAGTCAAGTGCGAAGATCAACAAAAAAGTCTCGGAATGGTCCAAATTCTGGTTTTAATTGAGGGGCACTCCCTCAATGAGAAAGCGACATTTCTTAGCATTTTTCTTTCGACCTTATCCAATTTTATGCTCTTTTGCTTTGGATTTTATTTTTCAAAATTGACTTTTCTTAAGCTGAAGAAAAGCTCAAAATATTTTTGAAACTCACTTCTTCACTTAACATCACATCAACAATGTCGGCATACGAGAGTTTGGAAGCAGCTAAACCTAAAATACTACCCTCTACCCTAACCTGCCTTTAGGAGTCCCACAAAATACACAATTTACTTGACTTGAGTTCTACACTTGCCTTGTGTAAAATGACTTTCTCTGGGCTTCGCACGTTCTGCCTTGGAATTACAGAATTCAATTAACATGAACTGCCATTCATAAGTTCACCAAAGTACTGATCATTAGCTAGGAGCCTAGTGCCACATGATGATGGAGCCCAAGAAGCAAAATCAAGACTTCAACAGAATCGGCATTGAGCGATGGAGCCCCAACACAACAGTTTGATCTGCAGGAGTTTAAAACAAAGGTCCCCGGAGAGCAATGTTACGAAAAGGTTAACCTGTCCGTACAAGGCCCAGAAATTCCATAACAAACGCCCCTCCTTAGAGGCCGACGCCCTCGACGGCCTGGTAATTTTGGGACTCCCCCTTCAAGGAGGCAGAGCCTCTACGAGATTCGAACCTGGGATGTTGGGTTCGTTGCCTGGCTCTGATACCATTGTTACGAAAAGGTTAACCTGTCCGTACAAGACCCAGAAATTCCATAACAAGCAATGACCCTCAAACCATCGTCCTAGTGATTTTAGTGGTTCTGTTTGCAAATAAGAAACGATTACCGGAGTTCACATACCCCTGTTTGTACGAATCTCTCAGGTTGATATGTCAATGCCCAGCAACTGGGGGCTGATCTCCTAGGCAATTGCCTAGATTACATAGGCTTTTCATAAATTGTGCGTGCGTTCAGCCCAGTAAATATATCCTTGAAAGTAGGAGAAAGGTGATGCGATTTGTCAAATTCAAGCGCTGCAACTTAAGCACGTTACAACGTTTTCAAAGCTATTTAATCGGCGAAGACGCCCCACCACAACTCGCAACATCATTTGCCAACCTTCAAACATACAACGATTTTTGTCCACAAATAAAATGCATTAACATTGACAGGGAGGAAACAGGCACACAGTTAATATCAGGATGAACATAAATTGGAGATGAACTAAGCTGTTTAAAGTCCCCAAGTGTAGCACAGGGTCAATTGATTCAATTGATTGATAGAAAAACATATCTACTAATTAAATTTCCCACTCTGAACCATCACTTCAAAGTTCTCCTTAGAAGGGATTTCACATGGTATTATTCTTGAGGTTTGTGACATTTCTTCCAAAGAAGCTTGAAGCTTCCAGCTTCACTCAAAACGCCAGTCTTTTATTTTGATATCCTGTTTCCATTGCTCGCTTTCATGGAGCAACAAAAGTATATCATACATATTGATAACATCAAGGACGAGGAAATAAAGCATCACTTCTTATTAATAATTTTGACTGCAACAGGATTGGAGCAGTATGGACAATTCCCGAACAGAACATCAAATGACCTGTAACAGAAGTAGAAAAGTTATTACAAACCAAGTAATCAAATCCTGAAGAAGTATTAGAGATTCGTCTTACAACAAGTAGTTGACAAAGAAACCAGTATACTGCAAATTGTGTTTTTGTTACCAAAGATAATGACTATAAAATTGACCTAGTTACTTGAATTACACCAGAAATAAAATTCTAGCATTTGGTTTCAAAGATGTTAGCTGTGTCATCCAAAGCAAGAAGCACTAATAAGATTTACCAAAAGGTCAAAAAATATCAAATAACAAGAGATTCAGAAAGCTGTGAGCTATTCAGAAAGAGATGATATTCGTCTATAAACCACATGTGCCACAGAGGGGAGGGTCATATAAAGCACCCTTGAGTGAAGAGAAATGGATGGAGGATACAAGTATACAACACAGAGAGAGAGAGAGAGAGAGAGAGAGACGGGGATAGAAGAAGAAGACGAGGAGGAAGAAATCAAACATGTCAAAAAGGAAAACAAGAACAAAAAGAAATAAAATAATATACAACAATGACTAGCGCCTACATGTTCAACTATGCTGCCATAGGCCTACAGCAGACAGGAAAGCCATATTCGTCCAAATTGTAGAGAAAAGGAACACTAAAGTGTCTTACAAATCAAGGACTAAAGCCAATAAAACTAACAGAGACATGAAGAACAAACATACCGCCTTGTTGTTGTAATTGAACGCAGCCAATCTCGAAGACAAACACTATGGAAGGCCCTACTGCAATTGTTATTTTCACATGTGTAGTCAGTTGCACTCCCGCTCTTTGAGCCAAGTTCATCATCTATCAGATAGCACCACCTTAATTATCTCTAATGATGTGTACACATATATTCTTGGGGGAAAAATGCTAATATTGGAGAAACCATACCAATGGGCAGATATTGGGCATAACAAACCCCACATTCAGTTTGCCGATCATCTTTCCTGACTTCAGGAGGTTGAGGGAGCTCAATATCCAATATGCTTGTCAGATTTTCAGAAAATGATCTATCTTTGACCCTGTTAGAATTAAAAAGCACACCATGACAGGCAATCAACAAAGTCGTGGATGAGAAGAAGCTATTGGACTAAATTATGCACTTTTCCTGGATAATAGCACCTAAAACCTTCTATAGATGTGAATACTGCAAGGATAGCCTGGCAAGCCTTAAGCCGATAAAAAAGCTCACTGTGGGCTGCAAGACCAAAACCTTCTAGCTCTACTTAGCAACCTTAAACCGTCTAAGGCTAATTAAAAGTCTTTTAGCTCTAAAATGTGTAAAAAATTAGTACATAACAATAATGAATTCTACGGCCTATCATCATGATCTTCATCTTTTGGGTTTTCCTCATCATGACATCAGCAGTGGCATGTATCATGGAGGACAAAAATGCCTACAGTGACAGTTGTGCTATTGCAATGGCATCCATAAGCTAAGTTGCTGGGTAGGAAATAGTGCAGTTTTATCTGTATTAGGATTTTCAGTAACTGCATAAAACCAAAATAAAAACTAAGCCTAGAGCCCACGATTCATTGACCTCTCTGCTATAGGATTCATGATTTAAATAGCTTGTCTATAGTCAAACAACTTGTAGACACTTGGAAGTGGAAAGTTATAGAAGTAGGTACTAAAGGTGCATAAAGGTCAGCATTAAGCATTCAAGCTCTATGCAAATTTGATTAATTAATTGGATATCATTAATCCTCAAACAGCTCCTCAGCAGGACAGAGTATGTTAGGCACTAAAGCCATTTAGTCTCACATAAATGAAAATTCCAGACACAAATAAAATTGGGAATAGAGGTGATAATTTGCAGAGATATCACTGGTAGCTACCATCTTTTGCAATTTATTTTCCATTTCCTTCTCAAAAGGTTCACATTTGCATCTGAACCAAGAAAGCGACATCTACATGAAATGAAATCTGTTATTGTTCTGGCAAACACAATTCATCAAGCCAAAGTGATAAAGAAGATGATATACTGGGGCAAGGATCTTGGATCACTGGCATTTACCGATAAGGTGATGTAGCAATCATTTCCTACAAAACAGAGAGAAGTTTACAAGTTAAGAGCACCTTAAAGGATACATTTAAAGCCAAAAAAATTAAAACATGAAAACAAATAACCTATGTTGATTTGGCGGTACGACATTGCAAAATGTGGATCCTTGGGATCAACCACCCAAAGAGACCGGTCAATATCATCTAACGTGGACCAGAAATCCTGAAGCTTATCAACATGCTGGCATGGGATTAAGGATTTGACAAATCATGTCAACACAACGACTAACTCAAGGAGAATTAGCCACCATGTCAATGAAGAGATAACCGGTCCATGTGAAGAAACATGCAGATGATAAAGATAAAAAGAAAATTTTTAAAGAACTCTTGGAAAAAATGGTCACTAGTACATGTTCAAATTGCACCACAGCATCCTTGAGCTTCGAGTTTCCAGACCAGTCTAAGTTAAAGATATGAGGGACATCCTGGGAAAAGCATGATAACAAGGTGTCAAATCTCAGGACAAAGAGGCTAAAGAAGGAAACAAAAAAAAGCAAATTGTAAGATAGACTGACAGCTGATATTGAAGGCGGGCATTTTGGATAATTAGTATCCAGTGTTATTTCCAAAATGTGTGCTCTTCCTTTCTTGTCACTGGAACAAATTGAAAGATGCCTTGAGTATCATTGAACAAGCTAGACGTAAAAATAGCTATAAGCAGACGCAGACATGCAAAAGCAAAATGGTCTTACATGACCCTGAAGCTCAAATATGTCAGGTCCTCCCCCATCCTCACTAGATGCTCCCATCCAACATCTTCTACCTATGCATGGACAAAGTCATTCCATAATTCTCGCTCAGGTATTTCAGTACAGTGCATTACTAAATGATCTTTACCAGGTACACAGAAGGAAAAAAAACCAGAGGCATAACCCAAAAATCAAGTGAAGTTTTGAACCTCCACATAACTCCTACAAGTAAGAAACAATTCCTGCATTCACATGATTATCTAATTACCTCTGAATATATCCTACGATAAAAAGAAGAGGATTTTCCCAGTTTTTGGCATCTATTCCCATCAGCATCTTCCTATAACACAATGCGTCCCCAAAAAAAAGAAAAATTATTTAGCTCATGAAGTTTCAATTAGAAAGAAACTTAAAGGTAAAAACCAAAAGAAAATCATTTCCTGATTCTACCATGTTAACCTCCATATCGAGCCGCCTATCGATATTGATGCTTAAACCCCCATTCTATTAAAGGAAAAAAAAAAAAGGAATGCAAAGAAAAAGCTGCAATTACCAACAAATTAAGTAAACTAAAAGAGCCCGTGTAAAGAAAACTAAAGACTTTTCTAGTCCAAATAAAGCTTTCTGAAATACAAAAGATTTAAAATTATGAGGAAACGAAAACTATAATTGCATTTTATGATCAGTGGCCAACTGTTTTAACTGTGGACAAACATCAAACACCTTGTAGGCGCTAAACTTGCAAAACGTAAGGAGAGGCTTCGTTCATGAATCAGCATGAAAGAAGATTTTTAGCCTTTAACTGGGCAATGGCTGAATTTGGGCTACATAGCGGTCGTGGATCAGCACTGGCCATGAACTTGAACCTAAATCACTTATCCCATCAAGATCATGACTACAGGGTGGAGCTTGGAGGAGCTTCCTGTTCATCCGATGAGGGTGGGCTAAAGAGACTAAGGCCCAGAGAATGGGCCCTTCAGATGGGAGGCTCAGTTGGCGGGAGAAATTGGAATACCGCACTCTTGAAACGCATCTGGTTCAAACCACGACTCGGCTCAACCGGGTATCAATGACGTCCCAGTAAGGGTCCGTTTGTTTCGGGTGAAAATGTTTTCCTAATTTCCCGTGTTTGGTTGCACAAAAGTTACTGAAAATATTTTTCTATGTAAAATATTTTCACTCATCTTATGGAAAACAACTTCCCTTCCAAACTTACTGAAGTTGTTTTCCGAAATGCATGCATCCCACCTGTAGTATGTTCCAAACTTACTGAAAACATCTTGTAGTATGTTTTTTTTTTTTTTTTAGTGTAAACAGGAGGACTCGAACGCAAGATCTCTTCCTTACACTCCCTCTCCCGTACCACCCAACCCCCCTAGTATATTCAAAATAAAAAAAAAATCTCATCCTACTCATCCTATGCTAGTAATTAATTATGTATAATAAGGACATTCTTTTCTAGAGAAATTTTCCGCAGTGAGAGTGCAAGATATATGTCACAATAAGCATTGCATGTGATTGATATTTGCCACTAAATGGCCAGCAATTTGTTTATTGCTTAAGGAGATATTTTTTATTCATATATACATTTCCCCAAGATTTTTAAAAGTTAAACAATGAGATAAAATTTCTTATTTTGCATGGGAAGAAGTATGTAGTTATAATGTGTAGAAAGTAAAGATAGAGATAAAAGTGAAAATATTTCAAAAGTTAAACAAACACCAGAAAAATAAAGTAAGAAAATATTTTCAATAAGCTAACCAAACACCTGAAAATGATGAAAGAGAAATGATTTTCATGGAAAATTACTTTCACGGAAAATATTTTCCCAAGGAAAACATTTTACTTCCAACCAAACAGACCCTAAAATCCTCCTTTTCTACAAGCTTTAAAGTTTCTTTTAAATCGTGATACAATCGGAAATAAGACAAAATTTCGAATTTAATTAACATACCCGTTTCAGCTTTTAAAACCTCATCCTCTCTCCCCTTTTTAGCACGACAAATAAAATTAACAGAAGAAATTTTCGCTTGATTCAAACTTAATTATTAAAGCATAGTTTTATAGCCGAAGTTGAGTTGATGAGCTGATCGAATTTAAACAGTTGAACCCTCAAAACTTTGTGATCATTGAAGTCACACCGTATTAGATTCATGAATAGAGAATTGTGTGGGTCGAATCGACGAGTGCCTTTGTCATGTCTCGCCAATAAGAGTGAAATTTGAATACGTAATTAGGAGCATATTCTTGTGGCACCATCACGAGTTAATGGTATCACATGGACAGCATGGCAACTAGAGAATAGCAACTCTCGTCGTTTCTTTACCGTCCCCTTCTAGTAGTTAATAATGACACGAAAGAAACCCAAAATGCGACATGGAAAGGCTTTTTAATGAATGCTTATTATAATTTCGGCAAGGCGAAGTTGACAGTAGTATTAAACTCCAAGGTTACCAACAATAATAATAATGTCTCAGTGCAAGCAATTACAGCATATTTATAATTTACGTGCATTGGAATGTAGTGTTAAACTAATCAAATAAGGCACATTGAACAGCAACACTATAGAAAATTATGTGCACGGCGTGTTTTGAACAAGTTTTTTCAACTTCTTTGTTCATTCATCCATCCATCAAGCAAAAAATAGTATACACATGAATTGGAAACTTTTGACCATAGGTGTGAAGAATTACATATAGGTTGCTCGAGAAATGGGGTCATAAAATCAATCAAGAAATGGGGCCTAACAAGTAAAGTCTCAATCAATCAAGTTGACAAAGATGACCATATTTGTCGCGTCCGTTAAAACAGTTTGTAGTTAGCGGGTATTTGCTCCCCGTTATCCAAATACCGATGGAGACTCTTTTTTTTTCTTTTTTTTTTTTTTAAAGATAAAATGTACTATTTGGCTTAGGGATAGTAATCAGCAGCGTCGGAGCCACCTTGACGGCTTGTGGGCAACTGCCCCCTAAACTTTGCAAAAATCACAAAATAGGCTCGAACAATTTATAAACTAATTTCATCTCTTGACATTGCTCCTTATAATTTGGAAACTAGTCACCTCTAAACAATCAATTTGTTTCTTTTAAGTATCTCTTTCTGTGGTCCAGTTGTTTCAAAACTTTAATTAAGGTACATTTAACTACTACTAAGACTGAGAAAAATCGTAAGCAGTAGAACAAATTCCCAAAGAACAAATCGTAAGCAGTATAAAAACTTGCTCTCATCCTGGCTGTGCTACTAGTACGTAATCAGGTGGGACATGCTTTGCTTTTCATTAATGATGTGAGTCGCTGCAAAATGCGCATTAGTATTCTGCGTTGGTGAATTTGTAGCCACTGATCTGGCGTGGACGGGACAACAAGACATTGATCTCCTGGTGGGAGCCGTTGTCGCTTGGCTGACGATGGTCGCAGGCGGCATACGCGTGGTTGATGATAACATGGTGAAGCTTTTTTAATCGTATTTTTCCTTCTGCACCTAGAGGACTTGGATGCCGACGGGGGCATATATTAATATTGCAGATTGATGTGATTGAAGAAATCAAATCCCCCTTCTTTTTTTCCTTTCCTGCCTTGGCTGATTGATGCAGAAATGATCCATCCATGGCCATGCACGCGGAAGCACGCATATATGGAACGAGAAAGCACGGTGTCCAATACAGCACTCCCCAAAGCCAATTATAAGCATAGTTGATAATTTTGAAATAAAATTGAGATGAAAAAGATTCGTTCCAAAACTAATCTGAAAATCGGAATTAATTTCAATATCCTGCCGACACCGTAATGTGTGTGTGTGTGTGTGTATATATATATGTATATATATGGGGTCGTCTTCAATCCTGGCAAAATCGTCATACTCAGTGCTATATTGATTAATAAGTTGATGGAATGTTTCATTCTACAGTATCAAGCTAAGTGCGCGTGTGACGATGGATGGATGAGACTTCAAATCTTAATAATAATTTCAACGTACTTAGTCCCATCAAAGCTAATTAGAGTTCAAGCTGCTGGACTGAACGTGTTGCAACAGCGCATCAAGCTTCTTCAGTATTTTGGCTTCATCCTCTTCCTGTTGAACTTTTTAGGGTTTCCACTTGTCATATCCGCTGCTTGAGAAACAGCAGCGGTGTGGCTCGATCACTTGGACATTGGGGACCTAACTTCCCTCACTTTCTAATTCTATTTATGACTTCCAGCACCGTCCGTCTTTCATCATCAGTCTATCACGACATCCAAAGTTTAACAGTCCAGTGTTATAGTAACGTTAAAAACACTCCCAGAAATTAATCTATCGATCTGTTTATTTATCGTGTTTGATTGATAAAAAATTATTTGCATTCAATTAACAAATAAACTTGAATACCACCGGCATTTGATTCAACCATATACTCATTTACACCCTACTAAATAAATGAGATGCCAGTGGCGTCTCGAGGATATGATTATGACCTTTGCAGCAGCCTGAGTTACACGATCGAGGTGTGTCCCCATTTGGATTGGTTTCTGGCTCATGATAATTGCTTTATCCGTCTAACCACCATATTCTACAGTCAGCAACTCCGCCTAAAAGTAATAGTAGTCTGGTGTTTCCGACGAAGAACAAATTAAGGAGAAAAAAAGAAAGCAGAAGAGTTCGTCACTCGTCGGGGGCCCAGGCTGAACAACCAAACAGCAACCCCCTGCCAAACCCGGGCCACACTCAACAATCCAAAATGCATGCGCCACACGGATTGTTTGTGGACACTCTACTACTACTCTTCCCCAGATCTTAAAATCGCAGCAAAATTCCGCTGCTACCTGGCAAATGATTATTTGCTGAATGTATTCTTGAGCGCAGATCAGATTGATCACAATCTGGTGCCGACATGCTTCCATAATTGGTTGCATTAAATAGCGACCCAATACGTGCTAGTTGCTGAACATGCGTAATCCCCGGTCTAAGGAGAGATCTGTGTCTTAGGATTAGCAATGTCGTAATACTAGGTAATGTTTGTTTTTGTATTTCATGGGTCGCCGTCCGTCGATGATGATAGATGCTGATCCAGTGCTAATTGCCACTAATTTTAAATTAATTGAAGGTTACAGAGTTTGGACAGGCCGCCAAGCTAAATAGAGGATGACATCTGTCTTACATGCTTTTCTTTTCGAACCTTTTTCTTCTTTAGTTAGTATAAAGTTTCATGTGGGCACACGGGTTGCAAGTCTACCGTCCCTAAAACACTTAAATTAATTGGAACTAGAAAAAATATATATATATATATGACTTTGCCTAGATGGTCTCATGTTAGTCATGGAATCAATAATATGCGAGCGGGACTAAAATGACGCTAGATGCATTTTAATACCATCCAAATTTCCAATAACTTTGATTTTTTTTTTAAAAAAAAAAAAATCATTTAGTTAGTTTGTTTAATTTTAAAAAACTTTCCGCCATCAAAATCATGCATTCTCCTGAAAAATGTTTGATGATTCAGTTTTGTCATGTGACTAAACGTTGCCTGTGTTTCCTCTAGTAGATGATCTTGTACACATTTGCACATTTCATGTCAAGATGAAGTTGATCAGTTCCTATTCTTTGCACGGTGAAAAAAAAAAAAAAAAAAATCATGCAGTACAATCTATGTCAATTGATTTTTCTCTTTCTAAATATCATGAGATTTGAAAGTAAGCTTGCTTTTTGAAGTTCAATTTGGACATGGCAAAATCTGTTAATCAAACGTCTCAAAATTGTTGGGTAGTTTTTTTTTACTTTCAGGAAAATCAATGACTCATGGGAGTTTCAAGTAAACTCCAAGTAGATCCATGCTTTAAATGGACACTATTGAACATATTTCCAATTAGACATATTTTACATATCCATCCCATCCAAATTAATTTTGGATATGGAAGCCCGTTGGATCTTGGAACTTTCTGTCACCTCTACTTAAAAGAGCATGCAAAGATGAGATAAACCGAATACTTTCCTACCCTAAAAGCTAACTTTGATGCACGCT